AGAAACACCTATTGCTATTGTGTTCAGTCTGTTTGCAATTTCAAGTTAGGAGACCATAACAGGCTCCTTCTGAACTGGTTTTACTGGCCCATATGTACGACGGGGGTACAATTTATTAATTTAAGTGCATTTCAGCTAATGACATCTGAATCACATACCTGCTGATGCGGAAACTGTACATTATGTATTCACAGTAGAATTGAAATCCCAGAGTTTAGCAGCTACCACTATGATGCTTCACTCGCTGGCTGTTTGATATTTCTTCATGTAGAAGAAAGGCAGATAAGAAATCGGGATGCAATCAACTAGATTAATTTGTGACAAATTGGGTATACAACACAGCTGTGTGGGGAGATTAGGTGGCTGTGTGGTTGACCGATGAAAATGCTCCAAAAGTAAACAAACGGGTCAGAATAAATGCTGTCATTTCTGGCCTACGATCTATCACAAACCTGTCTGTTGTCTGTGGATTATGTGAAATATAATGAGCAATTAAAATTTGGGGAACAAATAAACGCATCATGAGTCGGCAGCATTTAAAAGAGTCTGGGGTCTCCTCACAGATTAAGTAATGATCCACCGGGATATGGACAGTAAAACACTCTAACACCTGGGATGTTGTGATGAAGCTCATCCTCAAATTAGGGTTGGTGTACTTTAAATTTAGAATTCTTATTATTGATGTCTTTTCATGTTACAATTATAATCCTGCCATGATATATAAACATGTTTTATTAAGTCAGCTGTCATATCTTATTCCCCTCTGTTTGTCTGTGGACACCACATTTTTTCATTTGCATGCAGAACAACTTTAAATCATTCACATTTTTAAACTTACTGCCATTTGAGTAGCATTTGATTAACTTTTTATATACTATACTGCCTACACTGTGTGCTTCACTGGCACAATTAGAGGCCTACCAGGTCTGACCGGCGTCCTCTCCCACCATCAGAGCCAACTCACCACCTGGTGGTGGTCGGTGGAGAGCTCCTACTCTCTTCACCTGAGGTCAGATGAAACAACAACAAAGACAATCATTAAACTACGGCCTAGGGTGTCCTGGTGCCAGAAAACAATAACAATACAATAAGTTGCTCAAAATGTTTTTGACAAGAAAAAATACTTTTCCTTGTTTTATTCATGATGTAAGATATTTCACTGAATTAACTAGTTTTTAGGATTTTTAAATTTAAAGACATATCTCCATACACATAGGTTAATTAATACTCTGTGAAACATGTTAACATTATGTTAACATGGCTGTGTAGTTTGAAGTCTTTTCTGAGGAGATGTGTTCTGGTCTTCTCTCTGTGTTGCAGCTGCCTATCCTGGCCTCCTCGGTTGTCAGTCTTTATTTTCTGGAGCTGACCGATATTTTCCAGCCAGTACATTCTGGGTACAGTTGTAATGATCGTAGCCTCTCCTTGCCCTACATCCTGCCCCGACAAGAAGTCTGCCCACTCCCTTTGCTCTTCAGCTTGGCCTTTGCTGCTCCAACAGTCACAGTAAGTAACACAGACATTACATTGTTTTAATAATTTAAAGCACACAAGTACAAGAAGAACTATTAATGATACTAACACTAATTGTTATAAAGAGTGATCAGCGTAACAGCAATTAATCGCAAAGTCAATATTTGCCTAGAAAATGAACTTTATCCCCCAAAACACATTTCAACGTCATTGCAGCCCTGCCTTAAAAGGACCAGCTAACATTGTTTCAGTGATTGCGCTATTAACACAGATGTCATGATTAAGTAAGAATGACACCACTGAGAGGCTGGTGCTTGGCATCATTGTTTCTCTTCTGTGAACCATGGTTATCTCTAAAGGAACATGTGCAGTCATCATTGCACTGCACAAAAATGGCCTTTAAGGAAAGAGAATCGCAGCTAGAAAGATTGCACCTCAGTCAACAATCTATCGCATCATCAAGAACTTCAAGGAGAGAGGTTCTATCATTGCCAAAAGGCTCCAGGGTGCCCAATAAAGCCCAGCAAGCACCAGGACCATCTCTTCAAAGTGTTTCAGCTGCGGGATCGGGATACCAGCAGTGCAGAGCTTGCTCAGGAATGGCAGCAGGCAGGTGTGAGTGCATCTGCACGCACTGTGAGGCGAAGACTCTTGGAGCAAGGCCTGGTCTCAAGGAGGGCAGCAAAGAAGTCACTTCTCTCCAGGACAAACATCAGGGACAGACTGATATACTGCAAAAGGTAGAGGGAGTGGACTGCTGAGGACTGGGGTAAAGTCATTTTCTCTGATGAATCCCCTTTCCGATTGTTTGGGACATCTGGAAAACAGCTTGTTCAGAGAAGACGAGGTGAGCGCTACCACCAGCCTTGTCTCATATCATCTGTAATGCATCCTGAAACCATTCATGTGTGGGGTTGCTTCTCAGCCAAGGGAGTCGGCTCTATCACAGTTTTACCTAAAACACAGCTATGAATAAAGAAAGGTACCAGAATGTCCTCCGAGAACAACTTCTCTCAACCATCCAAGAGCAGTTTGGTGATGAACAATGCCTTTTCCAGCATGATGGAGCACCTTGCCATGAAGCAAAGGTAATATCTAACTGGCTCAGGGCACAAAACATAGAGATTGTGGGTCCATGGCCTGGAAACTCTCCTGATCTTAATCCCGTTGAAAACTTGTGGTCAATCATCAAGAGACGGGTGGACAAACGAAATGGAATGGAATTCTGACAAAATGCAAGTATTGATAGGCAAGAATGGACTGCTATCAGTCAGGATTTGGTCCAGAAGTTGATTGAGAGCATGACAGGGAGAATTGCAGAGGTCCTGAGGAAGAGGGGTCAACACTGCAAATATTGACTTGCTGCATTAACTCATTCTAACTGTCATTAAAAGCTTTTGTTACTCATAATATGATTGCAATTGTATTTCTGTATGTGATGACAACATCTGACATACACGTATGAGGTGCCCCCAGGGACATAAATCAGAATTAACTTGCATATACACATATTAAATTACTATGAGGTGCCCCCAGGGACATAAATCAGAATTAACTTGCATATACACATATTAAATTACACTCTTCCATATAATATACTGAAAACCTCACACAAACACTAGTAAAAAGCTCTCACATAAACTAGTGAAAACATTGACCTCTTATACTCAAAAGCTCTCATACAAAGTAGTCAGAACTGTTCATATAAACTGGTGAAAAGCT